TGTATCATGGATGCATCACATGTAAATCAAATGAAGAATATAACTTGGCAATGACTTGATACAAATTATACAACTTATTTCATGTGAATTGCTCTATATTGGAATAAATACACTAGTGATTCAACTACTATCCTTTTTTAGTTCTACTTGATAATGTTTTTACATTTATACAACCAATAAATTTAAAGTATGTTTTACACCTTGAATTTGCATTTTCAACAATTTTTGAACAGCCTCGATGGCATGAAGTTTGATTCTAAGTTCGGGTTTTTACCATCTCAGTGTGAGGATTAGTCTCTCCCAAAGAGACTAGAAAAATGCCTTCAACCTCAAAACTCGTTGTTTCAATTATTATTTTTCAATATTTATAACACATAGATTGACTAGAACAAACACTGCCCCCACACAAACGGCAAACAATACACTGATCCAAACAAACATGGGAAGTGATAACCCACAAGTATAGGGGATCACAACAGTTTTCGAGGGTAGAGTATTCAACCCAAATTTATTGATTCGACACAAGGGGAGCCAAAGAATATTCCCAGGTATTAGCAGTTGAGTAGTCAATTCAACCACACCTGAAAGACTTAATATCTGCAGCAAAGTATTTAGTAGCAAAGTAGTATGGAAGTAACGGTAACAATGGCAAAAGTAACAATAGCAGTTTTGTAGCAACCGTAACAGTGGCAACGGAAAAGTAACTAAGCAAAGATCAATATGTGAAAAAGCTCGTAGGCAATGGATCAATGATGGATAATTATGTCGGATGGCATTCATCATGCAATAGTTATAACATAGGGTGACACAGAACTAGCTCCAATTCATCAATATAATGTAGGCATGTATTCCAATATAGTCATACGTGCTTATGGAAAAGAACTTGCATGACATCTTTTGTCCTACCCTCCCGTGGCAGCGGGATCATAATGGAAACTAAGGGATATTAAGGCCTCCTTTTAATAGAGCACCGGACCAAAGCATTAGCACTTAGTGAATACATGAACTCCTCAAACTACGGTCATCATCGGGAGTGATCATGACTATTGTCACTCCGGGTTTCCGGATCATAACACGCAGTAGGTGACTATAACTTGCAATATCGGATCAAGAACACAAATATATTCATGAAAACATAACAGGTTCAGATCTGAAATCATAGCAGTCGGGCCCTAGAGACAAGCATTAAGCATAGCAAAACCATAACAACATCAATCTTAGAACATAGTGGATACTAGGGATCAAACCCTAACAAAACTAACTCGATTAAATGGTAAATCTCATCCAACCCATCACCGTCCAGCAAGCCTACGATGGGATTACTCACGCACAGCGGTGAGCATCATGAATTGGTGATGGAGGATGGTTGATGATGATGATGGAGACGGATTCCCCTCTCCGGAACCCCGAGCGGACTCCAGATCTGCCCTCCCGAGGAAGAACAGGGCTTGGCGGCGGCTCCGTATCGTAAAACGCGATGAATCCTTCTCTTTGATTTTTTTCTCCCCAAAAGTGAATATATAGAGTTGGAGTTGAGGTCGGTGGAGGTCCAGGGGGCCCACAAGGTCGGAGGGCGCCCCCCACAATTGTGACGAGGGTGTGGGCCCCCTTCACTTGATTCTTTCACCAATATTTTTATTAATTCCAAAAGTTATCTCACTGAAGTTTCAGGTCATTCTGAGAACTTTTTATTCTGCACAAAAATAACAACATGGCAATTCTGCTGAAAACAGCGTCAGTCCAGGTTAGTTCCATTCAAATCATGCAAGTTAGAGTCCAAAACAAGGGCAAAAGAGTTTGGAAAAGTAGATACAATGGAGACGTATCAGGAAGAAACCAACTACCCACGACAATCGACCCCACAAGACAGCGACCACACCACTTAAGGGGAAGGGAAAGAATGGTAGAGAGAATCATACATGCAAAATGTCAACATGTGACTTTCCATGAAGATGTAGATAAAACAGTGTGTTAGCTGAACTAGAATTAACTACACTGCAATTCATCAAGTGAGATTAAACATAGGAAGAACCAGCTACCCACGACAATCGAACCCACGGGACAACGATCTCACTCTTAAGGGAAAGGGGACGAACGGTAGAGAGAATATACATGCATGCAAAATGTCAACGTGGGACTTTCCATGAAGATGTGAGGAAAACAACATGTTAGTTGAACTAGAATCAACTACACTATAATTCATCAAGAGAGATTAACCAAAACAATAGTTTCAACATTTTCCACCACATATGATTTCATTGGCAATAAGTTCATTTGCAATGAGTTGTGCCATTCTTCAGTTCATAATAAAAGGAAGCTTTGTAACTGATAAAACATGCCATCTTGATGATAGCATCATTTTGGTCGAAGAGAAGCATTTCTATTTTTATGAGCATACCAATCTCTAACATGCAAAGACAAATACCAAAATGTGAGCACAATCTCATATTCTTAGTTGATTAAAAATTCAACATAAATTCCTTACAAAAATGTATGTCATGGATGCATCACGTGTAAAACAAACAGACGGATATAACTTGTCGGCCACTTGATACAAATTATACAATTTATTTCATGCGAAATGCTCTGTATTGGAATAAATACACTGGTGATTCAGCTTGCACCTTTTTTCGTTCTATTGAAATGTTTTGTGATTTTGCAATCATAATTTATTAGGTGAACAAAACAAGTTTCATCATTCCCCGGCAAAATTAGCAATAGCATTCAAAAAATCATTAAAAACTATTATTGTGTCGGAACGTATTTGCCCTCAATTAATGATCTATGTGGGTGAACGTTTAATTAGTGTTTTATAATTATCGACATATGTTCATGAGGGAATATCTCCACCATTGATATGTTTAAAAGCTCACAATTAGGACTAATAAGCTACACTGGCAAATATATGGGGCGGAGTACTTGAGGGCAGAACACGACGCAAATAGGATATAGAGATTCCTCGCAGCACATCGATGCATCGTAAACCAAGAAGTTCATACCCAGCTCCAAGATGATCTTGGTGAGCATCAATGGTTACTCCATAGCACTTGATTGTTGTGTTTCTATGAGAGCATCTCCAATAAATGATGTAAAATACAATATCAAATTGTGCTTCGAGTAAAATTTGTATCACCAAAAAGTTTTTTTTATATCATAAAAAACCTACAAGTCCAACATATGGTGTAAAATAGGTGTTGCAAAATACATGTCTTCTTGTGGGTGCCCTATTTGACATCATCTGTTGGAGGACTTGGTGATGTAAAAATAGCACTTGGTGATACAAATTTTGCTCCAGCAGTGTGGTCCCCCGGTGATATAAAATTTGCTCGACAGCATCAAGTGATGCAAATTGGCATCAGTTGGTGGCTTATTTTACATCACACCCTATCCCTCGAGTAAAAATATCTGCATCTATATCATATATTGGAGCAGTGTTTTTGCACTGGTGATGTAAAAAGTGGCCCAGTATATTTTACAGCATCTATTGGAGATGCTTTCATGCTCATTACTTCATTTGGAACCTTTCGTGTGTTTAAATTTGAATAATTTGTCTTGTCAACATTTATCATCATGTATGGATTTAATATGAAGTATGTAAACAAAAACTTAGATAAATTGACGAAGACCTTTATTAAGGAGTTAAGTTTTAAGGGTTTGGCTAGGAAACAATTTTTATTTAAATCCTAAAACATAAATACTTAATGTATAAGGGCGGGCGAAAAATGCCAAAGGAGCTCGTTTTCAAATTTTCCACAACGTGATTTTTTAAATTCTTTTGTGAACACACATACACATGTATATTACGCACGTGCAAAATTCACAACATTATACTTTTACACGCCACGTACAGAACAAAGGCAAATAAGTATTTTCAAAATGTGCCCTTTACTTTTGTTGTTGGGCTGGAAATTTGATTTTTACACCCTACAAATTGTAACATTTTTAACCAAAATTCCACGGGTTCGTGTGGGACACATGTATGTTTTTATTAAAAAAATAAAACATTTAATTATGCTTTTTCGTTTTGTTAATACCGAGCTCCGGTCTTCAAAAGTCTGCACTCTGGTTTGAGATGCTATGTTATGAGATGCTCTTATCCCCACGGCATGGTCTTGCGGCCAAAAATGCTACGCCTGCATAACGTTTTTTTTAAAGCGGAGGCGCTTGCCCGGTCTTAAACCAAGGCCCTTACGAGTTCACAAAGTCAAGTTCTACGAAAAGGAAAGGGATATATGCCATAGGCAACATGGGCGACGCAACGCTGAAACATAACCAGCACCAATGACTAGCGGGGCTATCAAGGTAGCAGAGGGTGGCTCCCAGCCGGTGGTCTCCCTATGTCGATCGTCCTAACTCAGTGCACCGTACACCTGCATAACGTGCTACGTAATGTTATGTTTCTGTCCTTCCTAAAACTCCCAATTTCAGAGGGTGGACCTGGGTCTTTTTTTCTCTTCCAACCAAATGAGGCTACGTAAGTTTCCTATAAGGATTTTTTTACATAGAACCGCAATATGGCGCAGAGCGCATAGGTACGCCGTACGCCCCGCGTGGAAGAGCGCATCGTCAAGGGTTTCATCCAAGACGTCATTACGGTATTTTTCGGGGGAATTTCTCGTTACGAGTCTCAACTGGCCAGATGCTCTTTCAACGTCAGTTCCTCACCGCCTCCGCGAGGTCAGAGCAAGACGCACAGTTTTCATGACCATCACTAGATCGTAAAGTGAAACTTTGTTGATTAGCTTAACTTTTTGTAGACAAAAGAAGGATCGATCACATCAACCCTCCTGGCCCATTTACAGATACCAAAGACCTAACACTTACTTAACCAAATTCAGAGCAAGACCGATAAAGCAAACCTATAAAAGCAAACCTATATGCTAACACGACTTGCAGAGATAAACGACTACTATAACTTTCTCCCGAACCGAGAGCAAAGACGAGAGACACTGCAACATCATCATCATCTCCAAACATCGATCGGGGCGCATCGACCGGGCTTACGGCTTCCCGTTCCCCTTCTTCTTCCAGAACCTGCGGTAGAACTGCACGGTGCGGCCGTTGAGCGGCTGCGTCGGCCTGTTGTTGCGCCGGTAGCCCTCCTCCAGGGGCGCGATCAGGGCGGCAGCCTGCCCCAACGTCATCTCCCTCACCTGCACCAGGTTTCTCCCAGGTTCAAACATCAAACGAATTCAGAGCACAAGCTGCGATTCAGCGGTAATCCTCCTTTTCGAAAGTAAAAAAGTTAACTGGTTTGGAGGCCGGTTACGACGACGTACCCTGCCGTGGATGTTCCAGATGACGTTCTCGGTGCACGGCGGCGTGGTCAGCGACCCGACGTACCGGTAGTACATGTTGGCGTAACGCCGCAGCGGCCACATGTTGACGACTCCGGCGGGGATGGGAGCGCCTTTCTCGGCCCTGCAGGCCTCCACGTAGAGCTCCGATAGCTTATCCTGCAGCTGCCATCCATCAACGGACCAAACGGTCAAATCTAGAAACGAATCCGCAGTCAAGGCATACAAACTTTTTGAGGATCAAAACTCACCTGCATGAGGAAAGGGTCTGGCCTGCCGAGCCGGTACAGGATCGACACGACGGATATGTTGCCGTCGTCACTGAAGTGAACCATGTGCTGCTCCACCGCAAACCTCTCGCCGTTGATGGTGTGCTCTGAAGGAGAGTGCCAATGGATGTTGTCCAGCTTGTACTTCACCCCGTCGATCTGCACCGTCCCAGCAGCATCCTCGCACCGCAGCTGCATCGACCGATCACACAGGACAAGAACACAGTGAAACGCAGCGAGAGGATGAAACGCAAACTGCTGAACGCAGAAGGCAGGTAAGCGGCGTTTGGTTGAGAGCAAAATTACCGCGATGTTGAAGATGTTGTCTACGAGGGTAGCATTCGCGGCGGTGTACTCCCTGTGAAGAGGCCCCAACATCGGGTTGTAAACCACGTCTCTGGTCTTGATATCAACCGGAGACTGGTACGTCCCCATGGCGCACTGCGTGAAGTTGGGGTCCAATCCCCCCCAGTGATCGGGGCCGAGAGGACCGGTGTACCCAAACTTGGCACCATCTGCTACGCATCAAGGATGGTTGGGCATATCATACATCAAAAACACAGTGAAATCGGAACCGCAAATGTGCTAGGAAGAAGAATTAACGTACTGCTGTCACATGCAAGGGAGGTGAGAAAGCAAGCGCACAGCAGCAGCAGAGCAATGGCTGATGCATCTCCGTCGCGAGTACTCCCCATCTTCTCCTGCAATGGGTGTGTTCTTCGAAGTTAAGCCGCAGGTAGAACAGAAGTAGAATGCGCAAATAAATAGGGGGCGAATAGATAGATAGTGCTTAATTGTGGCACTGTGGTGGCCATCGGCCGGCCCGAGCTCCGCCTACCTCTGCTTTGCCAAGTGCGATGCTCTGGTCCTGGGAGCAGTGGACGCGCCCGGTCTACTGGAGATGCAAGGTCCTGCAAAAAGACAGAGGGAAGGTGAGGCGATTCGCTATACCCATCACAAGATCATGCGCAAAAGAGCGTAATCATGCAGGGCCTCGATCGAGAAGAGATGAGGTCGTAGGCCGGGATGCTGATAGCCACACACCGTCACCTCACAAGAACCCGAGTAGCCTTTCCAAAAGGCGAGTAGTCGACCTCGAGCTCTCGGTGCTGGAATCTTTCTTCCGAGACGAGACCCGAGCAAGAACGCGCGCTGCCGGTGAAGGTGCTAGCTATGGCTCCAGTCTCCTATTTATACACAGGGCAGGGCAGGTCAGGTCGCCACTAGCCGATGTGGCCCATCACTCTTGCTTGCAGAGAGTTACGGTGCGCGTGGGAGGAGTGGTGGCTAGTGCTCCCCGCGGTAATCGTAGCACGTACGTACGTGCTAAGCAATTTCACCGTGCATGCTGCATGCACGAGTCGTGCTTCAGAGATTGTTGGGCCACGTCCTCCACACCCTTGAGGCTCGGCCATGTTTCTGACTACGTCCTCCACGTCGTGTATGCACCACAGGCGCGCGCGCGGCTCAGGCCCTTTGGCAGACGTCAATTCTTCCCGCGCTCTTTGAACAATAGATGATCACTTCAAGAAAACAATATATAGGAATTAGGAGGGGCCGTTTTATTCTGCCTTGTTGCACCGTGTTGCGGGTCCGGTCATTTTTCCCTAGAGTTGCCACACATGCATTTACGTGTAGATATGCCATGCACGTGCGTTCCTCCGCGGGTCGTCAATGAGTACTTGATCTTCGTGAGATCAATAGATCATGACCGATCAACGAGATATACAATAAAGCCCTGCAATTAATCCAAACAGCAGGCAGTAACACAACTGAGTGAAAAAGTGACAAGAACCCCCGTTACCTTTGACAGCACTGTGAGACCAAGGCCCATCACTAGGTAGAACCAAGAGACGTGCAAGGGGCAGGAAAACGTCGCTTATCTACGGGAATACATCACACTATTCGAGACACTGCAAGCTTCAGGGACCATGCATGGCACGTTCTGGAAGGAATCATGGATGAAATAATAGACGCGCCTGCTTGTCGTCTAAGAGGTTGACATTCATAAGTTGACCCATGCAGGCCTGGCATTGCACTGCCTACCACTTTCAGCAGGCGCAAAAAGTTGACTCCAGCAAGATCAAGTGATCAACAGTAGTCAAGGGAATAATTGAATAGGGGTAGAGCCTATGGCAGGCCATATATGTGACATGTCCGGCCACTTCCAATGCTAACGACGGGATTCTGGATTTACGTACTTCACATTTGCCGCCCCATGATCGCTTACAGTTAGTGGGGGAGGATAAGGTCGGTCCATGGTGCTGTTTTGTTTTAATTTTTGGAAAATCATGGTGATGTTTAATAGTACGTGCAAAGCATCAGTCCATCAGGACACACTGTTCACAAGAGTTGCATGCATAAAATGCCGCACAAAGTACAAAGACATGGAGTCCGACATGGAGATGCAAGATTAGCGATGCACGCGCAAACGGCTACAACCGCATGCACATGATTTCTCAAATTCGGCACTAACATTTTTACCGATGAAGCGGCAGTGACCATTTGAGAGTTAAAAGCATCAGCATTATGCCCTATGTCCCATTTGAGAGTTAAAAGCAGAAAACCGCTAAATTTGTGGTTAGGTTTCCAGAAAAGTTCCTAATTTTTTGTAAAAGGCACCAGATTTCTGGTAAACTTTTTGCAAATAGAACTGGTCGCTTGCATTGCTGCGTTTGAGCGCGTTTCCGATAGGTGAGGCCCGAAAACACTGACGTGATATAAGGGCTAGGCGAAGGACATTGTTTGAAATGAAGCTGGTCAAAACGAACCGGTCGACCCAGTCGGCCAGACAGACGCAACCACTCTCTCTTCTCTCGCGCGCTCACGTGCTCTCTTCTCTACTCTCGTGGCCATCACTGACAAGGCTGCTCGCCGCGCGCCGCCATGGTGTCCTGGAACGACGACAACAACAAGGACTCCGCCGCCCAATACATCTCCTCCCGCGACTCCACTATCAAGGTCAGTACTGCTAGCGAGGGTTTTGATTTGGGTACTTGGGGATTTAGGGTTTCCGCGACTCCAGATCGATTTGAACTTGTTTCTTCGGTTGGTCGAGATCCCAGCTACAATCGATTACCCAAACTATTGTGGTGTTGACAACGAGGTGATGGTGATGTTTGAGCATGGGAAGCCGGTGGAGAGGTTTGTTGCATTCGAAGGGATTAGCACGGGGAGGAGGTTCATTGCTTGTGCCCTAACTGTAAGTTAGCAAATATTCCGAATTTATCAGTTTGAGGGTTCCTTGTGCACTGTTTTGTGCAAAATAGAACAAATGTTATAGGGTTCACTGTGCAAAGTTCATGTTCACTGTTCATGTCAACTATAATTTGTAGTTTGATTATAGAAAAAAGTCCATTTTACTACCCTGAATAAAGTGGCACTTTACCCCCTGATCTATTTTTCTGCTTCTTTTACCCCCTAAACAAACCCAAACCAGACAAGACACCCCCTGGCTAGTTTTTCTCCATCCACTGCTGATGTGGCACTAGTCAACGACGGTTTTGATCTGGGTGGAGCCCCCTTGTCAGGTGGTGCTGGGATAGAGCTGCCGCTGCACCCGCCGGCGAGCAGAGCAGGGCCAGGCGGGGTCAGCAGGAGGCAGTAGGTTGGTACCTGGGGCGGGCTCGCGTGGCCGGCGGGGTCGGCAGGAGGCGGTGGCGTGCCGGCGAGCGGAGCAGGGCTAGGCGGGGTTGGCAGGAGGCGGTGGCGCGCGGGGTCTAGGCGGTGGTGGCAACCACTGGCGGTGGGTACTCGGGATGGGCTCGTGCGGCGGCGGGATGGCGGGGTCGGCGAGGCGTCGGCGGCGTGGGGGCGGGGCGATTTGCGGCGGTGCGAGATGGGGCTCCTCTGGCAGGACACCGGCGCGATGGCGGGGAGAGGGCGGCGGCTCCTGGGCGACGCGGTGAGGGAGGTAGGGCGCGGGTGGCTCGGGCCCAGATCGGCCCGGGGCGAGCTCCTTCGGGCGGTGGCGGATCCGACCTGGAGAGAGAGAGAGAGAGAGGTGAGAGAAACCAGACAAGGGGGCCCCACCCAGGTCAGAACCGTCGTTGACTAGTGCCACATCAGCAGCGGGTGGAGAAAAACCAGCCAGGAGGGTGTTTTGTTCGGTTTGGGTTTGTTTGGGGGTAAAAGAAGCACAAAAATAGATCAGGGATAAAGTGAACCACCCACTTTATTCAGGGTAGTAAAATGGACTTTTTTCTTGATTATATAGCTCTGTAATTTTTAGTTTGATAAGATGAGCATGTTTAAAATGTGATTATGTACCCATTTTGATGTTTAGTTTGGTAAGTAAATTTGATGATTTGATTATCAGGTGTAAGGAAAAGTTCAGTCAAGTATTTAGTGTAAAATTCAATTTTAACTGAAGCTTTTAACTAAATCGATAACTAAAGTTTTAACTGAATCTCAAATATGAACTTTTTAACTGAATCTTTAACTTAATTTTTAACTGAATGTGTAACTGAACTTTTAACTAAATCTCTATCTTAACTTTTAACTGAATCTCAAATCTGAACTTTTTAACTGGATCTCTAACTGAACTTATAACTAGATCTCTCTCTAAACTTTTTACTGAATCTTTTAACTTTACTTTAGACTAAATCTTTAACTGGACTTTGAATCACGAGGAGTTGGTAATTGTGGAATAGTATAGTGGATAGATGAGGAGTGGCCAAAGGATCTATAGAATGCTCTTCACAAACTATGGCTGATGAATGAGGATAGCCGGCATGCTAATTAATAGGCTTGCATGCCTAGAACATTCATATACTGTTCATAATCTTACAGAACAGAAAAGGAAGTTGCAGGAGACTTATTAGAAGTTTGTTGAGGATGTGAACAGCCTCCTGCATGCTCGAAATAACCTTGCGCGGGAAAGGAATGCTATTGTAAGTGCATCTAGTGCCACCCCTAGTTAGATTTGGAGTATTGACGACAAACCAGGTTGAGGGACTAATGTGTTTGTGAGAGTTGGGATAACACAGGTAGTAGTCCCTCATAGATTCGGTTTACCTACCGGAGATGACCCCTAAAAATGTGTAAAGACATTGAAGACAATGGTGGTATGTGAAGATATTCACATTGAAGACTATGACATGAGAAGACATCGCATGAAGACTTTGGAGCGCGAAGACATAGTTGTTTCGTAGTTTTATTTTCTTCTTTGTTGAGTCATAGGAACCACCGTACTGTTAAGTGGGGTCCAAGTGAACAAAGTCAGAGTGACTAAAGTGATGCTCAACCACATCCTAAGTCTTCGAGTGAAGACAATGAGTGCAAATCTTATCCAGAGTTGGATAAGTCAACTTTACTTGTAGCCCAAGTCAAGCTGCCGCGTGTGTTTGAAATCTGACTGTTGGAACACGTGTTAGTTCCTTAGTGACCCAGGGTCATTTCGGACAAATCAGGTCGGGTTGCCTAGTGGCTATAAATAGCCCACCCCCTACACCATAAATTGGTGGCTGCTCAGAGTAAGTGTACGGCTTTTGTCGTTTGAGAGCAACCCACCTCGAAGCCTTTGAGAGAGAAATCCTTGCGAGGACAAAGCTCTAAACACCCAGAGCCAAAGAGTGTTAGGCATCATTGAAGTCTTTCTGTCTATGTGATCTGAAGACTTGTTACACTTGAGGACTGTGAATCCTCCAGCCGGTTAGGCGTCGCGTTCTGAGCATCCAGGAGTTATTGTGGATCG